AATTCTTAAACGAAGGAAAAATGGATTATCACTTTAATGCAATGACTGTGTTGCGTAATAGTTTCTCAGGGTACTTTTTAGCTAAGCCTATATGATTAGTTAATAATTTAAACTTAAATTTTAAATCAATGGTACGTCGTTTCATTCAGTACAACTTAATGGTTTAATTAACTATAATATTATACTGCAGAATAGGTTAAACTTAATGTAGACAAATTAATAAATTGTTGATATATTTTGCTGAGTATGGAAACAACTTATAAAAACTTGCCTTAAATACCATGTTTTAAATAATAACAAAAACAATTTTTAATTGTATCTTCCTATATTTAGATTTAAATTCATAAATAATTATTACTCAATCAATACGTAATATAATATACTAGGTAGTTATTTTTAAAATTAATAATTAGTAAGCATGTCTAAAACTGGACTATTTGCATTATCACCTATAGAATTATAAGCCTTATATTTATTTTTATTAAAAAATAAAATACAACACTTAGGTACTATTTTATTTTTAAATAAAGGGTATGCTATACATAATGTATACTATGACGGCAGATGGAAAATAGTTGATATTTTGCATTAGTCAGTACCTTCTTGAACTTTAAAATATGTCTTAGAAAACTTCAGTCATATATGCAAAAGGTATTTCTTTTATATTGTACAATTTGTGATGATTTTCCAATTTTTATAGGGGATTTCGGTAGGTTTTGTTCCATTTTTACAGCTCCTCAAAATGGTTTCTAAAAGAAAAAACTTTTCAAATTACATTAGATAGCTTTCATATACCACCCAGAACGAGCCCCTTTTGTTAGTGAACCCTTGGTCCCCGGCACAAAATATAGTACGAAATTTGAAGTGCGAGTACTGATTTGAGAAGTGTGTACTAGTAATATACATGAACATTGAACATTAAGTATCATATAGTTGTTCCACTTCCTTTTTCTTGGAAACAAGTGTGAGCGAGTAGAAAAATGAGTAAAATAGTCTTGAGTTAATTAATTTTTAAAGCAAATATCTCATTAAATATTTTGTATTTCAGAACTTATAAGTAGGCTTTCTCTAAGTTTGTAAAATAAAAATAAAATAACGACCATACAAGAATAATTTGATGAAAAAAGTAAATGTTGTTGTATTAATAAAAAAATATTAGTTCATTTTTTCTAATAATAATAATATGGAAGTAGTAAAAAGGGAAGTATTTTGACAAAGCTCCACCTCACCTCTGCCCAGAACCTTGTTTATTTGAGACCTATTCCTTTCGTTTGAATGACATTTAGAATCCCAAATACCAAATATTAATAGTTTATATAAGTACTTATATATTATAAGATTATAAACCTCCCAAAACAAATTACGGTTTTCTTGAGTAGTATTATACTTATTTTTTCATAACCATGCTCGTTTAATCAATAATGAAGTAGTCAAATACTGAAATACGTAACATATGTATGGACTTTGTGGCCGTTTTAACAACATAGTATGGTATCAAAAGCACAAAGGTTGTCATCCAATTCACATCATATTTCAACAACTTGCGTATTATGGGTTGAACGCTTTGGTGATTACTTTTTTTCTTTTCTTTTTTTTTTTGAACTGACATTAATAGAACAATGCTAGTTTATTATTTATTTCAGAAAAGTTCGATAATTGACCTCTGCAAAGTACGTCCGCGTTCAATTAACAATATATTCTATAGAGACTAGTGAGAGGCGTGTTGCATGATGACAAATAAAAAGCCGCACAAAACCCTATTATGAGCCCTCTAAAAATCCACAACAATGATATTTGTAATTTTATATTAGTTATCATTATTTTTAGTGACTTTGTTTGGGGCGAAGGGAAGACGCCGAGGGATTGATTAGGTACACTAGATCATTTTTCAAATATTTTAGCGTGCCTAACACTACTATTTATTTTTTCAAGTACCTACCTATAGAAGTAAAGAATACGCACAATACAATATTATATATACCTAGTGATTCTTTAATCACTAAACATTTTTTGTTTCAAAAAGTATAAATGTTTTTTTTATTGTACATGCTAGTCGTTAAAAAATATTTATATATTTAATTATTTTTTATTCTTAAATTGTTTTAAATTTTTACTTTTTTGAATGAAAACATACAGTTTTAATTTGATATTCAAAAGTAGAATATTTTTCTAAGTAATTCGATACATAGAAATCAAATTTAGGACGAGTATAGTTAATACCTACGTTATAAGTATTTAAAGTTTAGATAAGCGTGGTGGAGTGGTACGCGATCGGTCATCACACAAAATGTAGGTCCACAACTCCGATCATCAAAACTTAAATACTTATAAGTTATAAGTAACTTCTCGACCTAAATTTGATTTTTCTGTATCGAAAATCGAAAATTAAAAATACTTAGAAAAATATTCGGCTTCGGAATAAGAAATTAAAACTGTATGTTGTCATCCAAAAAGAGTAAAAATTAAAAAATGTTGAGGATAAAAAATATTTTAAAACATAAATTAACATAAATATTTTTTAACGATTAGCATATAAATACGTTTTATTTTTTAAAAACATTTATTGAATATCTTCTCCGATCAAGTCAACCATGACCTGTTGTGTACCCCTCCATATATTGGGTTCATTGTAAATATGTTTCATACAGTTTGTACAAAAAAAAAAAAAACAAAAATCATTTATACCTTTTGGAATAATGAGCGTTTAGTGATAAAAGAATCGCCCGTCTTACAGTTCCCTTCGATTCACAGTTAAGTATAACACATTTCGTTGGTATAGTGGTGTATAGTAGCTTACACCTAATATACATACACTTACGAAGGGATTTCAATATCGGTCATTCGTAGCTTCGCCACTACAACGGGTCATTAAGGGAGGAATCATCGACTTTTTACTGTCCACCTCCCGGACCCCTCTCGGACGAACCCGACCGTATGATCGAATTCGGTGGCGGGGCCCATTCACGGCAATAATAATTGTCAAGGGGTCAGACGTAATACCAAATAATTGCACTTCGGATTCCTCTACCGCACAGCATATAATAATATTATATCTGTATATTTCATAGGGATTACAAGGTCGTGTAAACTGAAGCCAGATTGAGCTGGTAGGTAACAACCACCCGACGACCAGACCCTGTAACGTGTGGTATTGTGGTTACGCATAGATCATCTGCGTCGTAGACTCGACGGAATAATTAGATTTGTGTTTCAACCGACGGAATCTTGTATAATTTATTAAACAATAATTGTCCGTCATAACCACTGTGAACCGGAAAAATCCATAAAACTCGTGTAACACAAAACCATCGTCTGTTTAATCTTATTTTCTACACAAATGTTTGTTAAAGACGACGACGCTACGCAGGAGAATCTCAAAACGGCATAAATTCTTCTGGATTGGTTATTAAAAATGATATTATTATAAAATGCGTGTAAAGTATGAGCAAAAAAAACAAATATTGTGCTCTCTGTAGTCATAACTGTGCTAACCATAATATAGGTTATTATTTTTTATTATATCACTAAAAGGCACACGAAAACAATATTTTAGTGGTTATACCTATATAGTAATATTTTTTATTTAAGTTTTGTAAACAAAAACACTACCTATAGACTATAATAATATTACATATATATTTTATATATTATGATAGATGATACTCGATGGATGTCAATATGACTTACGAAATTTATCAATAATAGTTTATAAGTTATAACCTACCTACTGCAATCTGTATAATATATTATTTATGTGCTGATATTCGATTATTTTTTATTTCTATATAATATTGTAGCCCTGGGTAGGTATAGAGGTAATTACACAATATACACATTACCTACTGAGGGCCGTGAATAAAATTTATTTCATATTTCACATTTATTCAACGACTGTTTTGTATAAAATATGACAACAATTATTAATGGAGTATAGGTTATTAAAAATGAATAAAGGTTAATATTTAATATTAATTATTTTAATATTATTTTACAATAAATTTATATTTTACAAAAAAAAGGTATTTATATAAATCCAAACCATGGACAAATTTATTTGGTATGTACATACATTTTTGCAGTGCAGTGCACAAGGTTTAAAAAAAACATAAAATCGACGAAATTTCCAAAAAAAAATATGTAAATATTTAAAAAATACTACATAAAAGTTTCAAATAGCTATAATATACATTAAAAATATATTACTATGTTCTAATAATACAATAATATGCCTAATATGTTTTGATGTTTGTACGAAAGGAACATGAGCTATAGTATCTTTTGGCGAGCAAAAAAATTATACCTTCGGTTACCGTTGCAAAAATTGTTAATTCAGCGCTTGTAATCCAATTTTTTTTTTAATAGGTAAAGATTTTGCATCGCGTAACAAATATAATATGTGTCTTGAATTCATATTTTTTTAATTGCTTATCGCTCTATTGTAACACTCGTATGTACCCCGCGCGTTTGCTACAGTACCACAAGCATCCAATTCGACGATAAATCACACATTATTCTCAGGAAGTCGTTGCGTCGCCAAAAAATATGGTCCCGGAAAATAATACGACACTTTGTCATTCCACCTCGCGCCCTTTGTATATAATAATATATATTTTCCATCCACCCGCGGTCGTTTTTCATTACGACTTACCAGTGATTCTTAGTGTTTTCACAATGTTCCCTTTGCAGTCGGTTTTCATTACGAGTTACGACTTAGGTACCAGTGATTCTTCGTGTTTCGACGATGTTAGCTGTTAAATGAATTGGACGGACGAGGTATTCGTTGACCGCTCATTGTTTGACCTGGCGCAAAAATAATAGCTCCGCGCTAGGAGTTTATTATTGTATTGCCCGAGTATAAAACAACAAAACACCATTAATTACCGTCTCGTGCGCGTGCGTGGGTATCCTTATAATAATATTACGTATATACACTTATAACAATAATAATAATATAATATATAGCTTTTTGACACTCGATGTTTTCGTTTTTTTTTCATCAGGAACGGCTGTTGTTGTCCGTGTTGCCGGAACACGTAGCCGTCAAAATGCGCCAGGATTTGGGTGAGGCATTGGACAGTCAATTCAAAAAGATATACATGAGTCGACACGAAAACGTCAGGTACATAATACATGTCTATATAATGTATATACCTAATAATATTATATATATGTATATATATATGTATATACATAAATATTTATGTACTGAGGTCCTAATATACCGTTTATGTTTCTGTACACACGTGTTTATGTAGGTATATAATACTATAATATTACATATGTGTATATTCGTTGAGTTAAAAATGAAATAACGAAAAAGTCGAATTTCGTCAAAAGAAAATCATTATCCAAAGAACTCCCATGATGACCTCTTGACTTTTGTTGGAAATTCAATTACTAAAATGTATACAGTTGTCTCCTAATAATATATAATTGAATACGCGAAAATTGAAAATGACGATAACACAAACGTGCGTCTTGTATAATATTTTGTAATAATGCTTTTAATTGTCGTGGTTTTATATTTTAATTGGTTGATAAAATAATTATTATAATATAATAATGCCATGTATACATTACGGCACGACACCGCAAATTAAATACAAACACGAGTGCGTATTGCTGAGCCATTCTCGGCCCGGCCCAAAGTTGTACGTACGTAGATAGCTAGTTTTAATTATAATTTTGAGTAATATTATACAATTATTTTACATGGTTTATCGAAAGCATAGCTCTTCTAGAACAATGTTATAATATGTTGCACAAAGTTTAATGAACGAAGATAATATTTTAATTTGAATGGCTTACAAAGTAGGTATAATTATTTAATCAATGGTATATAGTTATATCAACAAATTAACAGCGTTATGACGTGAATGTATGATTTTATTAATCATCGACAGTAAAAATATATCGCACTGTAGATTGCATTCCATCAATTAAATTTATTGTTTATCGTCGACAATAATTTCAAAAATAATATATGTCACCGAAAAAGAAAATAATAATATATTAGGCACACAAATTACAATTTGAATTGAACTCAATCGTACATATCAACTACACAAACGTCTTATACTAAATGGGTTTCGTCCAAGTAGAATTTTATGTTTGAAATGTTTTCTACATACAAACGCAATATATTTTCTTTGATATTCGTGTTTGTTGTTTGGACATGAATTCAATATATTTTGTGAAATAGAATCTGACATTCGATAGAGTTATTACTTATTATGTATTTTTGATGTAGAATACCAGAATAAAACCTATGGAAAAATACCTAAATATAGTTCAGTACAGTGGCGTAGCCAAGCCCCCCGCCCCACCAACAACCGTTTTTTTTTATTAATTTTATACCAGTTGGTTTGTCCATACTCCAAAAACATTAGACAAGTAGGTATATATAATATTATAATATGAGTACTTAAGTACAGCGATAAATATTGTAATAATTGTATTTATATCGTCCCTTTCATTTTAGAAATCCTGACTACCCTACTGGTTAAGTACTCATCTACTTATTGTAATCACTCTCTTCAAAAATAACTTTAATCGCCACGTATTTTTATAGTGTCAGAAAATAAAATACACCACTTTATGCAATAGGAATACAATTATAGTATAATATTATAGTTGGTCTAATACGGATTGCAGCATAATTTAAACTATTAATCCTTAATAATTAAGGTATCATATAATATGCGTAAGGGACACACATGGTACATAACTTTTTATCGTAGTGGCTACATTTTTGGATTTTATAACATTTGACTGAAAAGCTTTAAAAATTAAAATATTACATCCACACAATGTCACTCATCATGCGATTAACGTTTGCTACTATAAAACACTCATTTTAATCATATAAAACATTAATTTTCCAATTAAAGCAGAATTTTCGCAATTCTGAGTGATTTTTAATAATGGAGTGGATTTATTTACAAGCACTGCAAATATTTTCTTACCTCAGGTTGTAGAATTAATCATGTCCAAACAATGGTATTTTTAATTTACGAATTAAACTATAGTATAATATAACGAAAACTATAACAAACAAATTAATTAAACGGTACGCGGGTTAATTTCATTGTTACTTTTTGTGTTCAGTTGAGTGTGTTTTAATAAGTAAAGCCAACTTTTAAGAAGAGCAAGGTAGAGGGTTTTGCTTCTGTAGTTTTTCGCCGCTAAAGATTGTTTTTGTAAAAACCCAATCTAGTAACCTTCGCCTAAAACGTCTCCTTTAAGTTATTCAAAAACCTAGTATCCATTTCAAATAAATTATAACTTGAAAATGTATAGGTATTCGGTAATATTATGTAACTCTTGTCCTAAATTATCCACATACTTGCGCACAGTATAACGTAAAATATAGTTTTAAAATATTCATTTTTCATATTCTTTGGTAAAGTAAAAGAAAAAGAACTCATATGCAAGAATGAACGTTCATATGTTCATATTGAATTTTCTTCCGCTACATTGTGTTTTAGTTATTTTTTTCTTTGTTGTAAAAGGTATTTTTTTTATTATATTTTATCAATTTTAATTCCATATTTTTAAATTTATATACACAATAACTTTGATTTACATGCCATCGCTTATAAATTAAAAAATATATTTTATTGCATCGCAGTATATTGTATGCCGACATCGTTGGATTCACGGCAATATCGTCTACATACTCGGCGTCAGACCTGGTAAAAATTCTCAATGAGCTGTTCGCCAGATTCGATCGACTGTCCGAGGTGAATTCATTTTTATTGCTAATACAGTAATACCTACTGTTTACCTACCTAAATTGCATATTATTATTATTGCTAAATACTTATTACTTGATACCTGGGTATCGTACACTTTATTTCACGCTTGTTATGACTTCCTATACCGTTTTCAGAAATACCAACAACTCAGGATTAAGATTTTGGGAGATTGTTACTATTGCATTAGCGGCGCTCCCAAGGAACGACCCGATCACGCTGTACTCAGCGTGCACATGGGACTCTCCATGGTCAAAGCTATCAAGTAAGAATTACGATTTCGGCCTGAATTCCGAAGTCCCAGCTGGCCGTAGGTATTGATATTTGTTTTGTTTTTTGTTCTGGCCACACCAGGTACGTACAACAAACGACAAATTCACCGGTAGACATGAGGGTGGGCATACACACGGGAGCCGTTTTAGCCGGTGTCCTGGGTCAGAGGCAGTGGCAGTTCGACGTTTACTCCAAGGATGTGGAATTGGCGAACAAAATGGAAAGCAGTGGAATGCCGGGGTACGTCCATGCGGAAAAGAAGAAAAATATGAGTAATTTTTTTGACGAAACGCGATTTTTTTTTGTTTTCAGACGAGTGCATATATCCGAAAAAACCTTGAGCTTCTTAAATGGAGAGTTCGAAGTCGAGCCCGGTTACGGAGAACGCCGCGAAGAAGCACTTAAGATGGCCAGCATAAAAACTTTCTTCATCATAAAAACGATCAAACCGGTAATAATAATTGTTACCTATTCAAAGTAGATTTTTCAAACATTTTCAACATTGTCAAAATATGATTTCTTTTAAAACTATTTTTCGTTTTGCGCTCGGCAGTTCAAAATGGATGTGCAAAATGGATCGTTGACCGATCAAAATAGTGCCAGCAAAGAATCTGTGGTAAGCATTATGCTGTTTTTGGGCTGTTTTCAGACGTCCTGGTTTAATTTTTAATAATTACCGAGAATTTTTATGTAACAGTGTGCTACACCGATTGATGACGCCGATTTAATAGCTCAGGCAAAAGAGGACTCCGATAATTTTAAGAAGCGTTTGAGAAAGGACTTGATGAACAGAGATGGCCACAGGTAATTGACTACAGTTATAGGTACATCGTGTGCCAGTTACGTATATTATAAGTATAATAATATAATATTATTATTATTATCACTTGGGCCAATTGCATATTTTTGAGGGGTTACAATATTATGACATATACATTTTTACAATTTTTTTTGTATTATATACATATTTCATAGGTACATTATGATATATTGCTATGTTTTAATTAAAATTTCACTATGGAACGTGGTCCAGGCCGCCTCTCCACTAAACATAAGATACTGCGGCGTGCACTATAGTCATTATAAAATGTACTCCACATATAAATATTATTATTTGGATGAATGGTTTTATAGTGTTTTCACGGACAAGTTTTGGCTAAATTTCCGGAACATTAAATCAGACAAATATGATATAATAGGTCCCCCTTCACAAATTGATTGTACAGCTAATGTCCCATATTATAAAAACAATACAAGCCCCGTTCGGCATATTCCAATTTCTCTGCTAATTGAATTTCATTCTTTGTTTCATATCGTTTGTTCTATTATATACTTATATAGTCTGAATTGACGAAACATTGTTCTCGTGCTGAAGATTCCGAGAATTCCAAGATTGATTTCACTCTTGTTAGGGTGTTGGTATTATATAACGTTTTATATTTATATAATTTACTATACATAATCTTTTGTTGTAACGCCTCACGGCGTAAATTTTGTGAGTAAATAAATAAATATTTATACTTGCAAACCAACATATTATTTCTGTGAACTGAGTATTACAATAATTTCCCAGAAATGTGTACGAATTAATTTAAATTTATATTTTTGAGACTAATTGTTGATATTTGATTGCATAATTACCCTTCTATGTCGAATATCGAAAATATTCAAACGTATTTTGATTCTGTGAGGTGGTGGTTGCTTAATAATAAATTATATGGGTATCTCAGTGATGTAATAGAGGCAAGTGCCACCTCCTCCCAAATTGTTTTTTTATGAACTATGGTGTTATAAGGTAACAGGTGATCAGTATTCAGTAAAAAAAATTTTAATTAATATTTCTTACTACTGCACTGACATGCCCATGAGTCATGACCTATTTTACCTAATATATTACTTATTAGATAAGTATATCTAACTATAGATTCTATATTGTGATTTTTAAACAAGCTCACCCTCATGTTAACCTTTAATAGTACAATTATTCAAATTCTGTTTTTAAATATTTAGAGGAATGCTTAAAGACGATATTTTCAAATTTCTGATATTGTTTGGTCTACTTAAAGAGTGTCAGATGCAAACTTCTATTTACAAAGAGAATCCTTTTTTTTACTAAAAATTATTTATTTTTATTATTATTATTATTTATTTATTTTTATTTATTTTTTTATGATTTATTTTTTTCAATATTCTGATATATCTAGATCAAAATTCTAATGAGTACTTTTTGAATTATTAAAATGTTTATACTAAAGATAATAATCTTTAAAAATGGTTTTATTAAAATATAAACTAGATATAATACCAGATGTAGTATTTATTATATTGGATAATTTTTACAAATAATTTATATTAATAGATTAATATTTATTATTAACTTTTTCAAATATTCTGAGCCTCCATATCTACTTAACTCATTACCATAGACTTATAATCCTTAGTATATAAAATTATATAACTTAAAAACTACTCTCTCAAATTTTGATTTAGATATATCTAATTAGATCTAACAAGATATATCTGCTTAATAATTAAAAATGAAAAAGGGGAGTTCCTATTTTTAAAAATAAAAGTTTGCGCAAAATGCATGCTTGAAAATTGTCTCTGCTTAAATTTTTTCCGCTGTGGTATCAGTGTATCGCCTATGTTATACTTACCCCCATTTCACAATACTTACCACCTTATATCTTAGCTGGTGATTATTTTATCAAAAAACACTCATTATTTCAAAAAATATTAACGTTTTTGAATGTATTTTTTTTCATATAGTTTAAGTTTGTGCATAATAACACAACATTTTTTTAAAAATTATTTTTAAATTATTTTTACTTTTTTTTAATAACAACTTACATTTTGAATTCCTTATTGCAAAAACGAATATTTTTTTGGAGTACATCTCTCATTTCTTACTATCGTTGTTTCTTCGTCGATCACTACTTCCATTAATTTCTTGAGTGTTTCAGCTGTGTTGGAAGCGTCTCCTTCAAATAAACGATCATGTATTTTCCTGGACCCATGCCAACCACGAAAATATCTCGAATTACAATCTCTAGTTCCGATCCACGTAAACATTCCAACGCTTTAGGTCTCTTAGACGTGCGCTCCATTAAGCCTCGCTTTCATCATTCGTTTTTTGTGCTTGATAAAATTGACAATTTTGATTCAAAACTATCGGATAGCATAGTAGACAATGTTTTAAGCTACAGATCGTTTGGGTTTGACACTTTGATGGTGAACAAAGACAATAGCTCGTGTGTGTCTCCTGATAATAACGAAAATAATATAAACTTCATTTTTGCTACGTCGTCGACGCTGTTTGCTTTAATAATTTTGTAATCGCGATTAAAAAATGTTACATCGTCGTCTTTTTCGAATGTACTTGCAGGGGTATGAATTACTTGCGAGTACCTACATGATTTTATTTTGTTCCTTCTCCACCAGATCTTATCGAATATTGGAGTATTCAATTATTATGATGATAAAATAATATCAAATACTATTGTTTGGATTTTGGTATAATATAATAAACAATATGAAAAATGATGGGCTCTATACAAAATAAATTTAATTTTGCAGAAATCAGAATTCATAAATTAGATCAGACATAATTATAACCCAATAAAAATGCCACAAGGCCTGGCTGTAGTATATTATGTACAAATAGTACATAATATGTATATTTTAATCAAACGATAAAAATAACCACAAATGTCATTAGTAATATTGATGAATGTTGGAATTAAATGGTTTTCGTTCTTCAAAAAGTATTTGTCAGTGCGCCCAGTTGTATATTATTCGAAGCTCGGCCAAGCGAGAGAGGGAAAAATGTTTTTATACAACCCTTGATACAGAGGGCTTCCGTTGCTTGTCTGACATTAATCAACTTCTTGAATATTTTTAACAGTTACCTATATTCATATTTTATTTTAATTAATGATGTTTATAGTCAAATGACTATATTGTATTATTATAGATACAATTATATCGGGAATCTGTTTATCTATAAACAATAGTTTTTCTGGTGACTGACGTGTAATGGAACAAAGCGTATATAAAAACAAACATTCATACATTTGTGAAGTGCTAGAGATAGGTTTATTGTTTTCAAAATGTATTTTTATTTTTTTGACTATCAATGCTGTGGGCTCCATTATTTTTGAGATGGAAAGGTACACCGACCAAATGTTTAATACCTCCACTGGTGCAAAACGTATTGAATTCAGTCTCCGTGAAGCATTTTGTCCCGTCTAAAGTGATCGATGTGGGTACTGGGTACTCCAAAAAGTGCGAATATTTTCTGTATTTTAGCTATGCACGAACAGCTTTTTTGCACGAATTTGTTTCGAAAACATCGAGCCATTTCGGTATCATATCAATATGGAAACTTTTTCTCAATAAACTAAAAAAATATACATTTAAGCATGTCCACACTTGCTTCGACCATTTTCACGCTACATACGGGCCATACGGATACATAGGCATAACTAGGAATCCTTGGGAGGCTAAGCCTCTTAACTTTTATTTTAGCCCCCTGTCACAATTCCTAAACTGGGGGGCTCCGCCCTCCCTCTCTTATTTTTTTTTACTTATTATTATAAAGATGCTCCTGAAGCCCTTCCTAGATTTAAGGTTTAGTTACGCTGATGTGTAGATACGGCCTTCAGCCTTGCATATCTGTGCTATTTTCAAAATTGCTATACTTTCGCTTTTGAGCATTGAACCCCAAAAATACGAACAAGCATTGATTTCATGCTGCTTTGCATACCAGAATGTACTATGTACAGTCTGCAGTATTCTTGCAGTAGCTACTGCTGCTCTACATTATTCAGGAATTATCACTCGATGGGGCTCCATATGAGAAAGTTTTATTTCGTGAGCTTACACAATAAGTACGGTTATAATGGTAAATGGACAATATCCGGCCCGGATATTTTCACACCGAATATTTCCTGTATAGTAAGAATAATGTTCAAAAGATTCTTTTTTTAAAGCTGACATTTTCCCCCAATATTGTTAAAAGTGTATTCGAATATCAATTTTTTAAAATCTAATTTTTTTATTTTATGACGATTAAAAATAGTTTTCAAAAATTTTGTTTTGTACCTGTTAAGTTATATAAAAGAAATATTTTCGAAAACGAGCTTTTTTGAAATAATAATGAGGGTTTTACTTCAAACGAAAGGCCCATTAGGTAGGTATGTACTAATAAATAACAATGTTAATATAAATATTAAATAACTCGGTCATTTTGAAATTGTAACTTACTATTTAAATATACTTAATATAATAATTATAATTTATGTTTATGATTCGTTTGAAGGGATTTAAACAAGCATACAAAATTTTTCACTTTGGCATTTAACGATGAAGCAAAAGAACGCGAATACAAATACCACAAAGAAGCTGCATCAGGTGTTTCTCTTATAGGTTGTCCATTAGTACTGTTCTTAACGTCTTCCGCACAAATTATTATGTTGCCCAGGTTTGTAGTATATAAAATACACATATTATTATAATACAATGAACAAACATAATTTGTTTTAAAATTATAAAACTAATACTTTATATTATACTTTGCAGAGATATTTTAAGCTACATGTCCAGTTGTTTTGCATTAGTATTACTATTGATTATTGTAGTAGTATCAGTGGCAGACATTTTTCCAAGAGTAAGTAAACTAAACTTAGTAGTTTTTGTGTTAAAGTCATGTAATTTTAAACGTTTTAATTTCACATAATGTATTATTATAAAATAATATATGTTCCAGCGTATATAGTACCTATAGGTAGGTACTATCAATATTTATTTGAAGTATGGTTTTAAATTTATTCATGTGGATATTTAAAAATACTTTTATATTATCATATATACGAATACCTTATATATACTTATATAGTGTGATAATATAATACATTTTCACTGTTTTGATTTGAGATACGCATTGGTAATTCGCCGAGCATACTCATCCCTATATATGTTTTCTTTTAACAATGAATTTATTGATTTTTGGAATATTTAAGTACCTATTCTTAAAATGATATTTTCAAAAAGGTACTTAGATTGTTTTTTTCACCATTTAAGGAGTGTTAGAGAGTGGTACTGTGGCGATACTAACTTTTTTCGTTAAAATAAGAATCATCTTTTTTCCCGAAAATCGTCAAGAAGATGACTTGAATAAGAAAATGTTCATGTATACTTTTCCAATTCGAAATCCGAATTAGTGGTCTTTGTCTCTTTGAGTTATTTAACTTTGTGCACTTATTATGGTATAGTATTATTATGGTTTTGTGAAACTACTCGTTCGAATTTTGATTAAGATGCATCAACATTTTCAAAATCATCATCTGCTCTATGATTTATGTTTTACAGTAAAAAAGGGTTGGTTCTTGTTGAATAAAAAATCAACAGCTAACAGGATACTCTTAAATAGTGTAAAAACTCAAATACATTTTTTGAAAATGCAGTTCTTATGTACCTATAGGTAGATAAAAAATTTAAGAATCATAAATTGATTCACTTCATTATTAAAGTCATATATAGGGGTGACCATACATGGTTGATTACCTCTAATAATTGTAATAACATCTAAATTGACTAACCTAGGTTTGTTATTCAAATTAAATTTTACGCTTACAATTTCATTGTTATTAGATTCTACCATCGAAAATTGTATGGTTCAGTGAGACTATAAATGACTCTTTATGGATTCGACGTATACTTGGCATCACGGCTGCGTCATTGCTAGCGTCTACTAATCTCGTGGGACTAGTAAGTTAAACCAGTTAAAGAATCATAATATTATTGATTCGATCAAAAATGATGAGTTTTGAATTATTTTCAAAGGTATCATGTTGGTCAGACAAACAAATACTTACCAACTGCACGCATGGCCAAAGCGACCCATCGACTTATTGTATGTATCCATCATACTTCACTTACTTCATGGTGTTGGCGCTAATAGCCACGTCCATGTTGACTCAATTATCTCATTTCACCAAAGCAACTATACTGTTCGTCATCACTCTGATGCATTGCGTTGTCAACATAGTTACAGTAGGCACCGCCATAGACTGCGAGGACTCAATCATTTACAAACCGTTCAAGTATATATAATATATATATACCTATAATAATAATATATCTAATTATACGTTCCTTGGTGCACTAGATTTATTTTAATACTATGTATGTAGGTACTCCATTTATTAGTCCGTATTTCCAAAATAATATGTTGTTATAATGTTCAGATTAGACACGGGTATTAAGGTATTATAAATAATAATAATATATAACTCATATGCGTACAACTACCAACTAGAACACAAGGTATATTATATATTGTTGCCCGAAAATCAAAATACTAATATCTATAACACCACCTTCAATTTATTCCAAAATATTTATTATTTATTTCTTATAATATTGTAAACTTAATAGAGTATCTGAATACAGAGTATAACAAAACAATGACTATATCACTGGGAGTGGAAATATTGAGCCGTACTGACGTATGTGAAGCCGTGGAGGTGCATTTCCCTGACAACCCCACTTCCGAATTTTGGACTCAAACCAAGAACTTTTTTAAGTGCTGTTTGTTCTGGTTTGTGTTGTAACTCTTCAGGAGTTACAAGGGATAATAACGGGAGGTGCCAACGTAACGACTGCACTGCCACCTTTGAATTTTCAAATTTAAATTATGTCATTCGTTTGCGCTGGTTTGAGCTCGAGTTTCAACGTTTGTGATGCAACCCCTTATATGAACGACGAGGGATAATTATTGAGGGAGGGTAGTATGGAGCCATAACGCAACCCTAACTCAAAATGTTGGAATTCCAAATGAACCATTATTTAGTAGTTTGCTACTGATATTCTGTATCATTTTACGACGTTAGTACTCTACTACTTCCGGAGATATCCTTAAACTTTTATTAGGGGGTAGTAAAGACATGCTGACATCCCCCTCCACCCATAACAAATTGTTGATCCAAATTAGTCCCACTGAATTGTATTTCGTTATAGCTTGTTTGTAATCTTTGTCTCGTCGTTATTGTTTTACTTGTAAACAAGTTATTAGCCTTTCTTAATAATAAATAAATAAAAACAGAGGAAATAGGTAGGAAACAGCTCTTCTGCATTGCAGTTGTGAGTGTCGAGTGTACACCTCGTCATTAAATAATTCACTGCAATGTGTATTGCGTTCAATTTTATTTCGATGAGAAATTATTGCATTCCAAAAACGATTCAGGAATCTTATACTAAATTGTTCAGCTTAACTATAAAAATTGATTATTTTATAAGTTGTTTACAACAAGATAATTGGCAACTTTTGTAAATTTAACGTATTTAATCAAAGTTTAAACTTAAATTCTTATAGATTTTTTCTTGATTTTTTTGTTTTGTCCAGTTGTTTTAAAAAGAACTATGAATTATACTTATTTTCCCTCCCCCAAAGTTTCAACTAGATACAATTTGTAATCAGAAACAAACTTTCAAATTGAAAATCATAGTATTTTTACTGCCCCGAAAGATGATGGCAGACATAAAAAAAAACATTGTGGAAACTACAAATCATAGTAAGAACAATACAATCATAACTCCGCTCAGAATCTAAAATATTAAAGAAGTTATTTATTATATAATATACAGTGAGAATATTTATACAGACACAAAGTAAACAGTAAAACAAATTATAAATACTATGTACCGTTTATTCGGAAAATCATATTGGGGTAAAATGGCGCAGTAATTAATTCATACCCATAGCTGAATAATATTTACTAGTTGAGTTATTTTTAAGTTGATATTTTTCTGTTACTTATATTTAAAGGTTGATACTGATTTAATTTTTTTTTGTTTTACAATAAAAGTTTTTTTTTTAAATGTATATTTTTATTTTTATTTTTATTAGTGATATTTTGTTGTGCGTTTAAAAAGCTGATATTGTTTTAATTTTATTTATTTTACAGTTATTTTATTTAAAAATATACAATTAAATCATAACCGATTTTCAAGTTATATTGTAAGTACAATGTTCTTTTAATAAAATATTTTTTTATGAATTAATTTAGTATGAGCCCCTTTACCCCAATCATGGGGTAAGAAGACGCATTTGCTAAAACTTCTGATTATTTCAATTTTTTGGTATTTTCTTTAATAAAATCAACTTTTGACTATAAATTGAAATCTACGTTATATGTATAATAGGAAAACAACATAAAAATATTTACTACCACATAACAGCTGTTAAATGTTAGGTGTGCTTAATACCCGAGGTTACTCTTTGCAGCTGATTTCGAGTATAGTTCAAAGTACATACCTACTACATATTGCTTAATTTATTGTTATCCCCTAACCCCTAAGAATTCAATGATTATAAGGGTGTCAGGCTCAGGGCACTATCTGAAACGTAAAAACAATTATAATGTAACTAAATATTATTATAAACATAGTTATAATTTAAAAATTATAATCGTTTTCAGAGTTTTGCCATCGAAGTATGCATTGTCGTTTCTACTCATAGCCGTCACAATGGCACTAGTGTTTTTGGCCAGAAATGTAAGCCTCTAAACTTTGTAAAAATAAAATCAAAATAATTTTATCTACTTACTCTACTAAATGTTTGATGTTTAATCAGATGGACAAATCGTCGAGAGTTCTATATCTATGGCGAACGGAAGTCGAAGAACAGAGAGAAAGAGCTTCAGACATCCGAAGGAGAAACGAAGCATTGGTATACAATATTTTACCTCCGCACGTTGCCAAACATTTCTTAGGTAGTTACAAACGTCAGCACGAAGAACTATACAGTCAGAGTTATGCCGAAGTTGGAGTTTTGTTTGCATCAATGCCAAACTTTTCAGGTAATTTCCAAGTCAAATGTTTACTATATATTATATAATATTACCGCAATACCGCATGTATTAACTATTAAGTACTTAGCTGTATAATCATGTGTTTACAAACAAAATTAATTGTTTAAGATTTCTACTCGGAGGAGACGGTTAACAATCAAGGCCTCGAGTGCTTGAGATTTCTCAACGAAGTTATATCTGATTTTGATGCGGTAAGTAAACACATCATATTATACTTACACCAGATTACTGTTATAACTATATAGGTACCTTGCATACAAACTAATTCATAACTTGCTTTATTATTTACAGCTTCTGGAACAACCACGCTACCAGGATATTATTAAGATTAAAACAATCGGTTCAACTTATATGGCTGCAAGTGGACTAAACCCTTCGCGTGTCGTAAAGGTAATATTGATTTATTTTTTTTTAGTTCTTATTTGTAATATGATACCTACTCACAATTTGACACATTTTATTCAATATTTTGTTGGTTTATAAATCCGATATTTTAGCCTGAAGATCCAATTGAAGTTAGATGGGCACATCTCGCTTTGCTGGTGGACTTTGCTTTCGATCTAAAAAAAGCACTTCAGGGGATAAATGAACAAAGCTTTAACCACTTTGTATTGAAAATGGGTACGTCCGACTTAATTTATTTGGTAGCCACATACATAGTTTGGAAACGAATTCTTGCCTTCCACAACTCATCTTATAAATACCTATACTTACCTTCTTACCTAACCTACATATTTATTACGTCTTGTAGCACGATAACCATATTACAATAATGCAGCTTACATGTTACAATAAATACAGTAACTCTATGGCATTTCGTAATAGGTAGGACGAGAATAATTGTATTGTTTGTCAGATTAGGGAAACATTTTGAAGTTTGCCTACTTATTTCGAGATATATTTGTGTGCATGGTTATTATTTTTAGAAAATACCATACTGTTCAATATTGTTCTCGTAGACTCGTAAAATGGTAAGAGAACAATTTTTTATTGATTAATTATTTTATTTTATTCGTATACCATCTTTAATATACATTCATTTTGAAAAGCAGTGTGTAGATATATATGGAATGTTAGACTAATCAAAAAAAAATACAGACAGTAACAAAATTGTTCTATGAAATAAAAATACTTAGATTTTTGATTATTTTGAGAACCACTACCTTTACTAACAGAATACGACAAAATATGTTGTTAAACTTATACAAGCTAGTGTACCTAGTAGATATACTAAAAATGAAAAAGTTGCCAACACTTAAAAAAATATAATGAAACAAAGTCCTAAATGTATCCAATATTTCAATTTTCATTATTTTAGGTGTCTTGACAAAATACACTACTTATGTTCTCTAATCTAAAATATAGATATATAAGTTAACGCTGAATGATAGGGACCATTTTGTACGCTATTTTAAATTTTAACCACCTGTACTATAATAACTGTTAAATCAATATACATATTAGGTTTATTTAATCAACAGTTTTTACTGTATTTTAGTGTCGAGTTAGGCGAAACCAATTTAAAAGCGAAAACATAGGTAAACCCAATTTACCCGATATTTGTGTCTTTTATCTAAACATGTATTTTTGTTTTATGTATGGAAAAACTTAAATTAAAATCTGATTTTGTTTTAGGAATCAACCATGGTCCGATAACCGCCGGAGTTATTGGTGCGAGAAAACCTCATTACGATATTTGGGGAAATTCTGTGAATGTGGCGTCAAGGATGGAGAGTACTGGGAAGGCTGGATGCATACAAGTATGTTCAGTCTTTATGAAAATTAATTTAGTTATTAAATATTAATTATTAATATTCTACGACTATCTATGGGTATTTTGTCGATATAAAATTCATATCGAACATGTTTGCTAGTTTATACTCACACGAGCGATACAACAAGAGTTCATATATTGTATTTGTATTTTTCCTATTTATGTATACCGTAGCTCATTACAATAATACATTCAGCTAGTACATGTCACATATTTTTGACATCTACGTGTTATCACATTATAAGAAAGTTTAGAAACTTAACGCACTACTATAGTTATTACCAACTTCAATCGAAGGATGTTGTGGATTGTCATTATATAATAGGCACCTTGGTAAACGATACAGGACTGGGCGGCAATATTTTGGCAAATAGTTCCCACACCCTTTAATTTTTTCTAAAAAACAAAAATAATTACTTTCATTAATACAATAACACAATACTAATAACATTTGTACCTATACGTTTGTGACAGGTGACAGAAGAAACGTGCAATATTCTGCAACATTTCGGGTTCAAGTTCGAACAGCGTGGCCTAGTGGCGGTCAAGGGCAAGGGGCAGCTGATGACCTATTACTTGGTGGGCAAAGGGCTCCAACCCAGCCAGGTGCCGCCGCCGATCATGGAAACGCTGCCGGAAGTGGAGGAAGAAGACACGGATGAGTGCACGGTGGTCAGACAGGCGCTGTTGCCTCGGACCGATCACAGCGGGTCCGCAACCGCTTCCGGTTGATGAACAACGACAACGACTTTAATTATTTTATTATAACGATGACGAGGACAACATGACATCGATCAATATACAACAATACATATTATTATGATATATTATATTTAAATTACCCATTTCCGTCGCATAGGCCATACGAGACGTCACGCGAAAACTTCAGCTATTTCATATAATATACGTCATGTGCCGAAAAATAATAATTTAAGAATAGCTGATACCTATGTCATATTATTATTATTATTATTATTACCTACTATAACCTTACGAAATAAGTGTAATTTATTGTTATGTTTGCTAACTATGTGTTACGGTCGTGCACTTACTGATCTATGCGCTAAACGAGCTTTTTATAATTTTATTATTATTTATTAGATAGTTTTATTCGATGGTTTCAGTTTACTTACATTTTCTTTCTTTCTTTCTTTTTTTTTTATCGATCATACCACCGTTAATGTTAAACATACCGAGGGATCGTTTGATTGTAAAACCCTCCGCCTTGATTGTATTTGTTCATATTGAACACGAAAACAAATTTACATAAAAACTCAGCAGAAATGTTGTGATTTTGTTCAAACTTTGTTTTTTGTATTAAGATATAAGTAATGCGTGTATTATTACTGTTACTATTACTATTATTTTATTATTATTATTATTATTATTATTATTATTATGATTATTATTGCTATCATCATCATTGAGCTTAGATTTATTCTGAGTCAATTTTTTTTTTTTTACTTAATAATAATTATTATTAACTACCTACTATTTACTACCAATATATAGTTATTGTTACCGCAACTAATATAATGAGTGCGATTCACATACATATAGATTATAGTATTATACCTATAGGACATAATAGCTAATTTATAATCATAATAATAGAGTTGTTATTTTTTTTTCACCGGTAGATATATTTACTATTATTTTATAACAAAGAATGAGAATTGAACTGCTTAATTAAAAAATTAAAACCTGCCCTTCAATTTTGTAATTTGTTGTCAATTTAACTAAATAACACGTTAAACAATAAAGTTTTCAATTTTGTTTGTTTTAAATTACCCAAACAATCTAACATACCGCGTCCAATGTATTATGTAGGGACATAGGCAAAATCCTACAAATTATTACAACTAGGTACCTATTTAATAATTTCACAAATTTAGTTATTGAGTACAACATAATACCAATGCATTTTAAAGTTATAAAAATTAACGTTCATCATAATATCGGTATTATACCTATTTTTGTCATTCACCGATGTTGTTTTTTTCTTTTCAATTATTATTATATTCACTAGTGTTAGGCTCAACAGTTTATACTTAGTATTTATACCTTCATCTGACCTGAATGATTTATCATTCATAAATACTCTTTATGGATAGTTTTGTATGCATTGTGTTATTAAAATTTAAATACAATAGACTTCACTTCACAAATTATTCTATTCAATTTTTAAACACTTAATAATGTACAACTTCAATGATTAATATGGTCAACTGCTGAAATAGGAATACTTACTGTTGTTATTAGAATACCTATTCTAAAGTCAATGGTGGTTTATATATTTTATTATTTCTTTTGAATTTTACTAATACCTACGTTGAAAAATAATTCAAAATAAAAATAATGTTGCACTCATTTAAAAAATTTCATTTTTTTTTTTATCTTGTCTAGCGAATAGTTAAATTTGTCCACAAATTGCCTATTATCGGTATAGTGTAATTTTAATTAAACTTTTAGACAACTAATTACCTAGTCTTATAGTATGTGGCTTTTAAAATCTTAATGACTATTAAGAAACATGTATTTTAATTTTTGATACATGATATTTTGTTTTTATTCTTTTTGTTTTTTGTTTTTAATAGTTGTGTATAATACATCATTATAGCCAATATAACATAATTTATAAGAAAACCAAAATCAAATTTTATATGGTTATTAAGATGGTTTTAATGTTACCTTATAAATATTATTATTATTATTATTATTATTATTATTATTAGTGTATCCTTATTTATGATAAGATAATGCATTTTAGACAATGATTGAGATTCTTGGTGTACAAAATCTATATAGGTTCAATATATTATATTATTATGTACCTACATTGTACACTTACTTTTTTTTTTATCTCAATAAAATAAATATTAATAGTTTGATGAATTTGCATTCGATTTTATTTCATCGCCTATCCTTGTCTCAAAGTATAAATCTCAAGGCTCGGGGCTAAAAAGAACAAAGGTTTCAATTCAGAGTAGGCTAGAGTTCTAACCAAAATGTTTACGATATATGTTTATCTATAAGTAGGATAAAAAAGACCTTAGCTGCTCATCCACTCATCATAGCTCGCCCACTCACCGATAGGATAAAATTAAGAACATGTCACATTCAATTCATTTAACTTGCACCTTCCTCTGTTACCCATCAAGAATAAAAATGTATGTAATAATTATATCTCTAATCTACAGACTATGTATTTTTGATTATTTTTGTAATAATTATTGTATTATATGATTACTGGTTTTCATCCACATATAACTTTCATCCTATTAAATCCATGAAACACCGACAGACATATTCACAACGACGGAACATATAGGCATACAACCAATTTAAATAAGTCGAAAAAAATAGTTAAATTGTGTATTTTGGTATTAATATAATATATCTATAATAGACAAAGAGGCAATGCATTGTTTAACTGTTGGTATTTTATCCACATTTTTAAGTTTTAAAAACCAACAATTAATTTTTCCAGAGAATGTTAATTTTTTATAAAAAAGTGTTAAATTAAGGTCTTATTATTTATTATTAAAAATAAAATTTAATTTAATAAATTTCTTAATTTTTGGAGGCCTTGTAGGGCAATCATGATACTGATTTGGCACCTCTGTCCCATACCTGATGATGCGCAACTCACAGTCTTATTTTTAAATTGCGTATTTATTTATTTTATCAAAATATAATGCTTTGGCACAGCGAAATTGAAACGTATAAAATAGGAAATAAAATAGTAGAAACAATACAATTATTCTAAATATTATTTTTCAAACGTACTGATATTAAATTTTAAGTCTTTTAAAAATTTGGTTTCTCCATTTTTAAGAGTTAGCTACTTACTAAAAATATGTAGTATAAAAACCATATTATGTTGTTTAATTTTAATGTATTTGAATCACACAGGGATATATTGGCTCATGAAAAACAATTAATTTTTTTATTTTATATAGGGTTATTATTGGTTACATAAAATAAAATAGTTATTATAATTGTATATAATTTTAGACCTGTATTTTATATTTTGTCCAAACAGCCCAAATGAATATGTTTAAAATATGTATAGTTTACATTTAATAGAGTTTAAGACAGCAAAAATGCAGTGTCTTTATTTAATTTGTCATGGGCAGCACCATGCAGGATTAGGAGGATACAGTAAATTTTATTATTATTTTTAAGTGATTTTAAATCATTAATTTGTTGTATTTATGAGTCGTGAATCGACAATCATTAATCCGTGTGGCGGTCTCTCTACCTTACACACTTGGAGAAAATAACAGCGGCATTATATTATAATGCCACAGCTGTAAATATTAAATCTATTTACTACTATTTTTCATATCATATATTATAGTTTACCATCAAAACCCTAAAATGAACATATTGCATAATTTTAATTAATTTATGAAAAAACATTTTCATTAATTATGTTTATTATTATATTTAATAAAATGAAATTTAAAAATAAAAATTTTATGAAATTAAAAAATTTCTAGGCTTATTAATTTTATGGAAGAATAATTCCTATACTAAAATTAATTGATTATTGCCATAAACAATTTTAAAGCTTAGTAAGCTATCAGGTGTTCAAGATAATTTGCTTGTCCATGTAGTTAAAATTTTTTCAGCTTCCTTTAAAGTTTCATCTTTCTGTAAATTAAAAAAGTTTAAGCTTAATAGTATACTTAAATGAAGGAATTATTTAAAAACATTACTTTAAAGAAACAAAGTCGCATATAGTCTTCAGCCATTGGTTTACTCTTTTCAGAGAAAAAGATTGAAAATGGTATACTTTGAAGTTTGACATTTTTGGAAAGCCATTTTGTAAACTGCAAGTCTTTGTATTTATCAGTCTCCAGACTTAAATCTATTTTATTTTCTGAATAAACAAATATAAACAATTGTTTATTATAAGATTTTATTATTAAAAATATGTCTTTACAAACCAAACATTGCCCAATTTGAAATTATAAAATATCCGCCATCCGGGATAATAGGTTTGAACCCAGTTTCTTTTAATACATTGGACAGAAAATGCATTTTTGGTTTTAACTCTTTAGATATATTTTGAAAATAACTCTCCGGTGTATTTAGGACACTGATTTCGTGTTCAAATCCTCTTGCAGTAGCTTCCTGAACTGGTGTTGCGCATGTATAAATTGCAGTCTGATGAACAACAACTAAATTTTTTATAAGATTAGCCGGACCATATGCCCATCCAAGTTTCCAGCCAGTCATACTAAATGTTTTTCCAGCAGACCCAATTGTAATTGTTCTTTCCCACATGTCAGGAAGTGTAGCTGAAAACAAAAATTATTTGGATTATTTAAAATCTAAAAAAAATTATTTTACAAAATAAAGCATATAATTGATAAGTCACCAAACCAGACATTTCATGGAATGGTGTGTAGATAATAAAAAAGATTAAAACAATTTTAATTGTAAAAATGCAAGTGGATGTCCCTCTGCTGTACAATAGGTCACAAGTGGGTCATTGTAATGGAAGGTGTTAAATTTTAATTCAAAAACGATTCTGAGTGAAAATGGTGGGTCCGCCTAAAATATTACTTAGTAATTTAGTATATTTGATGATGTTATTGTGATTAAAGTAATTTACTGGTCCTACAGTTGGTTAAATTGATAACAAGAATTAATATTCTAAATTGATATTATAGGTATTTTCATTTATATTCTTAAATATTAATGACTTTATGACTGCTCAAAGAATAATACTAAAAAAATTAATCACCCATTCTTATGTGCTTTGCTGGCTCGTACACCAACCACTCATATACCTCGTCAGAAATAACGAGAACATTATGTTTTTTGGCTAAATCTGCAATCATCATTAACTCGTCATAATCAAATACTTTTCCCAGTGGATTATGTGGTGTGTTTATGATAATTAGTTTGGTTTTAGAGTTGAATAGTGATGCAAGTTCCTCAGGGTCAAGTTTCCAATCACTCGAATGTGATTCCGAACTGTTAGGCTTAGTCTTCAAAAGTAACAACATGTTATTATTGTTTTTGTAACTTATTGTGATGTATAATAAATTGTTATACAAATATTCTTACATTCTTTAATGCTATGAATCTGGGAGTTCCTCCAGCTATACGTATTAATGGTTCGTAGCAATCAAAAAATGGTTCAATAACAATTGCTTCATCGCCTACCTCTATGTTACTCTGTATAGTACAAAAAAGAGCTTCATATGCTCCAACAGTAATCAATATTTCATTCAGTGGATCAATTTTTCGGTTAATTAGGTTTGAATATAGTTTTGACAATGCATTCACCAAGCGTACATGACCCTAGTAATTGAAAAAATATATAAAAATGTTTGCTTTGAAAAATTACTATATTTTTTTTTACTGTTGTATTACCAAACCACGTGTATATTGATGAGAATATAAATTCTTTTCGGAAGCCACTTCTGCTAAGAAATTTGAAAACCTTGATGGCGGTTCATAATCTGGAAATCCTTGACCCAAATTCAAAGGCTTGGTAATCATAGCCAAATTGTTATATTCAATCCTATACAACAAAAATAGATTAAATAAAACTCATTATTTAATCAATATAATCTAATTATAATAATATTAGTGAGTGATACTGGTACTTATGTACTACTGCACTCAGCTTATTTAAACTTTAAATAATTAAATATTTCCAAAAAATGTAATTGTTTTTGAAATAACAAGAATTTGTTAATACTTAGTTAAATTAGATTTTATGGATCACCTGGTTGAGGTGATAATCTTTCAGAAAGAATATCATTAATATGCTAGTATAAATATTTCCTACATTTTTGGATAAAAATCAAAAATCTGAATTAGGTAAAAAAATTTGATGTTTTAAATTAGAATATTAAATTATAATAACATAGTATAGGAGAAGCAAATCAAAAGCATGGACCAAATTATTCATTATGTTACGATATAAGTTTATGGGTGTATATTATATAATATACTTCCTAAATTAATATTTAAATTTAAAAAAAAAAAAACAATTATCAATTTGAACACAATTTGTTACATAAAGAGATCAACAAATATATTATATCTATCAGCTATGTTCCAAATAACTTTTATGGTTGTAGGTTTATGAATAACAACAAGACTGTAAGAGATTACAATAAAGTGAAATGTGAATACTATTATGATGTTTAAATTTGATAGCTTTTTTCATATAGAAATATGAGAATTATGAGTCCTAAACAGATAGTCAGTGTTTCTGATGGCACTCACAACTGGTATATATATTTCAATCAATTTATAAACAAAGTGTTTATACTTCTATACATCCACTTTAAGAGAAAATACTTCATTGTGAACAACTGTATTATTTTTAAGAATGAAAGTCAACATTTATTTGTACACGTTTAAACTATATATTATAAACGTATCCTATTAACTCAACATTTTCTGTAGAATTAAGTAACATGATAAAAAATTTAAGTTTTTAAAATCCCCTATCACAATATAGTTGCTATGTTCAGTTGACCATATACAGTGATGAGTGAAGTCATTTGAGTTTTTGAGAAGAAGGACAAAAGTTTTAACCGGACCATAATAATAAACAATCCATTCGGCAAACTTATTAGCCCCAATTATATTTTTATTTCAATTCCAATTGTCCTTTTACAAAATGTTATATTTACTATCATAAACATAAATAACAAATTTTTTTTTTTTTGGGGGGGGGGGTGGCAATGTTAAAAAATTAACAGTAGAACTCTGATTATCCGGACTAATTAATATTAAGGGTGGTCCAAATAAGGAAAAAACCAGATGATTGACATATGACACATCACAATTTGTATTGTAATTGTATGAACATATTGTATGTATTTATTATTTATTTGTATGAAATATAATTGTTAATTTGTAACAATAAACAGATAATTTCATTATAATATTTAACTGATAACGGAATGGCAAAATACAATTACGATTCATGGCAACGATTAATTATGATTTATGAATTATTAAAAGACCATATTTTTTTTTGCCCAGTTGATTGGCGTTCGGATAATCGGAGTTTTACTAGTGGAAAGATATTTAATATAATATTACCTATTACCCAGATACTCTATGAAAACTTGGTTTGAGAGAATTTCAACCCAAGCTCATATATTTGAGTAAATATGCATGGAAAAAAAATGTATTTACATAAAATAATGCAATAAATATTATTAAAGAAAACAATCAACATATCATATTATATTAAATAAAACAAATATATATATATATATATGTAATATGTGGGCTCGTAAGTTCATGCACCAAAAAAGCGCAAATAAGCATGCATTCATGCACTAAAAATTGGAAAAATATGCAATAAAAAGTTCGAAAATATGCATTTAAATGCCCTTACATTTTTAAATTATGCACTCAAAATATGCATTATGTAAAATATTTATGAGCAAATTTTAAATTAATAAGAATATATCCATTAATTTTAAAAGTATTTTATTCCTTTTAATTTTTATATATTTAACAATCAAAATTAATAAAATGAATACTTGTGAAGTTCATATAATCATATGGATTTGTCATCTTTATTTATTTTTATTAGGTAGTCATTTTTTGTCTAATTTTTGTACACCATTATCCTGCACCTACAATGAAAATATTTGGAATGAAATATTAATTATTTGACATTTTCAAGACTCGTACAGTTAAACAACTCAGCAACTGGCGTGTGCAAGAAAACTATACTGTACCAGTGTACAAAATTGTAAATGCGGATTGGTAAGAAACATTGTAAAGGTCTACATGCTTGTACACTTGTACAGGTATCGTTTTGACGAGGGACTATACACGGCGGAGGATGGTAGTGGTAGCTATAAAATTGTTTCCGCGGTACTTAGTAAAACGCATAAAATCTAAATAGGGAAATACTAGAAAAGTAAGTAGTCACACGAAAATAAAAATAAATCAAAACACTATCATTCAGTAAACGGGAAAGTAAATAAGAAACAAGAAACATTTCAAATATTTTTCTAAACAATTTTTTTATGAAATAATATAATGGGCTATAAACTCTAAAAAAACGATTATATGCCAAATATGCCTTTACACCTAAAACATGCAAAAACATGCATTATTAAACTTCATATTATTATTACTATTGTTATGAAACGGATTTGTATCTCAGTTAGCATATTTTTCTGTGTAGCAAAAAAAACATGCAAATGCATGAACTTACGAGCCCTGGTTATAAGAGTTGCCTAGATCAGCGTTTCCTAAAGTGTGTTCCGCGGAACCTTAGGGTTCTGTGGGACTATGTTAAGGGTTCCGCCAGATGTATGAGATTATTGAGAAAATTATGTTTTTTCAATGTTTGTTATTTAGAATATTTTTGAATGAAAATTTTTTTTTAAACTAAGTTTAATAAAGAAAAGTCATTAACAGCATCATAAAAGTATCATTTAGACTTGAGAGTTTAGAGAATTGATTTTCCTTTTTGTATTTAGAAAATTTGTAGTCTAGTTGGATTAGACATTAGGGTTCCACGAAACACAAACAATTTTTCACACACCATAGAGTATATTACTCAATTTGTCAACCTTTTATTACCTATTTCAGTGGCTAGACCGTGTCACCGTGAATGATGGGTAATTAAAAAACGAACAGGACCTGCCTTTTTATGATAAAAATATTAATTAAAAACACAATATTATACTATGACAACAGCTGTTATCTAAACTTAAGGTATTATAACCATGAAAGATTTTTATGTATCAATTTTAATGTTATTTTACATAATTTATAAAATAATAATAATAATAATATCGAATACAATTATACTAGTATTACATATCTGTTGTACAGTTTATATTATACACTGATACATTATGCAACATGCAACATGTCACTCTAAGTTGGATTAAGATACATTAAAATTATTTACGTATCAGCACAAATCATGGCTAAATTGTAATTTTTAATGGCACATATTATGTTGGAGGAACAAAACTAACCCGACAACATTCCATACTCGGCCACTGATGATAAGGGGGAAGGGGAAAATGTCTAACTATATGCGATTAAGAATTTATACTTAGTATCCTAATTTAAAAGTTCAAAATCAATAACATAACTCAGATTTTTGATATTTGATATCAGAAAGTAGTAAATATTTATACCAAAACATAAATCATGTATCATTCCATATTATTTGTTAATATTAGATAAGCTCCCTAAATTATAACTAAATAACAGTGACTACAATTCTAAGCAACTTTATTTATGTTAAATATGGGTTTGTTTTTTTTTTTTCTGTAGTAGTTAATTTAATTTAAATGTTTTTAGAATTTTGGTTAAAATTAATATTTTAACTTAAAGTAGAAAAATAAGGGTACTAACAATAAAATAGAAAATACCTTTAGTTTTGATTAAAAATAAAAATTCTCACATTAAATAAATGTATTAAATACAAAACCAAACAAATTACAAACATTTTAATATAGTTGGATAATTTTGTGCAAATACTCAGAATTTGAGATGTACCCAACTAACTACATTATATAATTTCAAACATTGAAAACGTATTAATATAATTTAAAAATAATCTCATCTCATCATGATTTAATTTTTAGTGGGTAACAAATAAAACACTTACCAAACATTGAATTGGCCAGATTCATATCTAGATGCCAACTTGAACTTTTCCATTTTCTTTTGATTATTATTGACTGATGAGATGTATAAATTTCTTTTTGAAAAAAAATTTGAACTTATTCGTATAAACTCAGTTCTTCTTATATTATTGTACAATATTATCCTAAACAAAAAACAACAGTATATATTATAAGCTAAAACTAGGTATTTCAAGACTGTAATATGTAACTACCATAAGTATAGGAATACAAATACTTTAGGCAGTAGGTATCTTTGTGTTAACTACAAAAAATTGTTCATTGGTTATAATATAAGTATATAGTAGATGGGTGGTACCTACTCAATAAATAGTTAAGAACTATGCAACTTTTTTTTTTTTTCCTGTTTTAACCCACGACCGCCGCGGAATAAGAACTATGCAACTTTTTTTTTTTTTCCTGTTTTAACCGACGACGCCGCGGAATAAGAACTATGCAACTTAAATAAATTAGTATTAACCACTAGTTATATGTGACTGAACGCCCGTTATTCTTGCATTATGACTGAGATAGTCTGTAGTTAATTAAATCCATAACAATAATTGTAACTGATAATATGAAAACAGCTATAAATATCAAATTTAATATGTTTGGTTTAATAAAATATTGACCTATTTTTTTTCTAATGTAATTTAAACACCATGTTTATTAAGACAACTATATGTTTAATGAACTTACATATTAACACTAGATACTGAAATATTTTTTTTTAATTCAAGTGGCTTGTAATTATAGTAATAGATAATGCACAAATAAATTTAATATTAATTATAGTTGTAATTATCATGAAAAAATATTATGAAGCCGAAGTACGAGACGTTAAGTGTGGATAATAAAATGTTATAATTTCATTAGGAAAAAATAATAATAATGACGGTTGTTTTGTTTCAGATAAAATAAATACGATATAGAAAAAGGACGACAGCGAGATTATTAATAATAATTATTATTTATTACCGGCAAATGTCAATTCGTTATATGAGTTTTAACAATAATGTTATCATATTGTCGTGTTGATAACGCATTCGCAACTAGACTTGGTTCATAGTTAATAGCTGATGCAACGAATTAATATGGTCTTGTGATCCTAACGAACAAATTATTACCCGTTAATGATTATACTTCGAACGGCGTTCAATTAAGTTATAAAATGATGAGGCACTAAATTCGTTTAAACATAATTACACTCAAATATTCTTAAAGAATTTTTTAACTTGTTTACATCGCAAACAAAAATTGTGTAATTACCAAATCACATCTGAGGGTCACGAGCTAAACATGCAACTACTCCGCTGGTAGCTTAAAGCTTTAAATCAAATCAACATAACACATACTACTCGGTTAAAATATATTCATAAATAGATAATATTACATATACACATTTTTTTTTTTTATTAGATACCTAGGTACTGAAAATAAATAATGAAACGGCACATAACATAACGTTCAACAGATAACTACCAACTACTTAGGGTTATCACTATGTTATCAATTGTCGTAATTATTAATAAAAGGTCAAAAAAAAGTGTTTTTCGGGATTTGGATGAATTTTTTCAAAATTTGAACTTAAATGAACATATAAGTAATTGGCCTATATGTCGTTAATACTTTTGAACTGCTTTTAAAGCATATTATGAGCACCCTTGTATTAAATATTTAAGCTTTTTTCGTAAGTGAAAAAGTTTTTATCGACAATAATTTTTAAAAAATTTACTAAATTTCAAAACTGTCTCAATGCTATAAATAGCTCAATAATAATCAAAATATGTATGGAAAATGCTATTATAAACATAAGGGGAAAGTTTCAAGTATTTATGAACATTTGTTTTTGAATTACAACAAGATATAAAAAATTGATTAATTGGAATTCGTTATTTACCGCTGAATATCAAATATCATTAATATTTTTAATCCAAATGCTCATAAAAAATTAATGTTGCTTTACGGTAAACTTTTTTTGGTTCAGGGTAGAAAAAAATATATACAGATCGTTGAAAATAAGATACATTCATCGCTACGCACAAATTCTAAAATATAATTAAAACTATAATGAGAAAAGCTCCATGAATTTTTTTGTGGAAAATCATAGTCAAGTGAAAAACCAAGCCAATTTCAAACATTTGGAAAATTCAGAAAGATTAAAAGCACTATCAACTACAAAATTAGAAATATCATGCAATTAATGCTGTTATATTATATGAGAAGCATCAATTCAAAATTCTATACAGTAGAAGTAGTAATCTGAACAATTAAAAATTAAGCATTGTTATCATTAAATATAATAATTTTAATTGTTATTTTCAATCTCTAACAATGAGAAAAAACTCTTATAATTATAAGTATTGTCGATTTCAAAAGTTGGAAATAAAGTTGTTAAGTAGCATATTAAATATTAAATATTAAGTAGTTAATAGTTTAAATCATAAAGAGTTACTTACTACAATATTTTCTTATTTTAGATAAAGGTAGATAGATACTAATTCAATGACTGTTCAATCTCAGATAAAACATTTTCATCGCACGAGTATTGATATTTTGCTTGAACAATGTAAGATTTAACCATTTTTCAATCTCCGTAGCTTTTTGTTTATATAAAATACAGTTGATAAATATTACAAAAATGGATATTATAATTTTATTTCAAGTTGAACATACAAAATTTAGTTTTTGTTTTTTCAAGCAATTGAAAATGGAAAACAATTGGTTTTTTTCTGTCATGGTTTCACGATAGTTAATTTTTAGTTGTACTTAGAATTTTACATTACTAACATAGGTAGTAGGTAATTTATTTTAATGATTGGTTTGTTAGACGAGAGAGACAGTGAGAGACTAGATATTAACATTGATTGGTAAATTCAAAAGTGTATTTGTAAATAAGCTCTTGATTCGGTTTTAGTATGATGGCCAACCAGCAAACTCCATAGTCCATACCATACACACTGCAGTAGTCTGGATACAAATAATATATCTGTGATTCCACATGTGTAACACACCATATTATATTAATTACCTACATATTAATATATACCATCATAGATACTGTTAAGACATCTATTTTTGGTCCCGGGTGTAAAATTAATTAAGAGGGGCCTGTATATATTTTGTTTTTTGCTTATTATATTTAGTAAAGAGTTAATAACAATAAGAGTTAAATGTAAGAAAGTGATTGACATTGGTACTTGGGGCCCAGGGTGCTGCTAATGGTTTATAGCACTAGGTACATTACAAGTAAAGTATAGTGTAAGTAGTTGGTTGGAGAGGGGATCTCTCCCCCCATGCCTACACAATTAAATATGTACAAACACCATAATATTTTAGATCATTCTTCATATTAATCAAATAAATAAATTTAATATGATAAACCCAATTTCATTTTCATTTTAAATTCAAAAATACAATTCAATGTAACCCATTTTTGCCTATTTATTATACAAACCTTGGATTAACATGAATTGTACAACAAAAATAATTAAAGATAACTAATATTTCTTTATACATTTATGATAACGATTTATGAAATTTTTAAAATAAATAATGTATAATCATGGTTGTTATGAGGTCTGGCTATTAAATAATGAGACTGCTTATGAAAACCGGTTTTATTTTAAAAAATATTTCACGACCGTTTTCTTTATTCATGTAAGGTTAGTAACCTTTACATCGGTAACTATTGACATTTTTATTTTTGTTCTGAAGTAGATCATTTTTAACTTGAACTAAATTTAATTTGAATTTTACATAAATTAGTGATACCATTAGGAAATTATTACTATTATTATTGTTATTATTAACACCTAATAATCTTGTTAGTAAATAATCCATCACAAGTTATTGTGTTTTTTAACTCAAAGTATAACAATAATTGTACCTACTAACCATAAAATAAATTAAAATATATATGTAGATAGTTTTGATTCAAAAATAAAAATACACTCACATTAAATAAATATTAGATTTGATAAACAAAATTATGAAAATATAAATTTTATAATTAGGTACTTCCCAAGTTAGTACCTAACCTACTATTAAATTAGAAAACAAGGGGGCTGAAAAAAAAATATAAATTTTTATTTACAAAACAGTTACCATACTGTATTTTGATAAATCGAATTATTTAAAAGTGGAAAGGTATAGGTAGCCACCCAGAACATTTATGTACTACCTACTCATGTAGGTAGCCAGTAGGTGTCAAATGTACCTTGTCATTGAGTTAGTAACTGTAGTGGCTGTATTAAATTTTAATTTAATGATAAAAGTCAGTCTATGTATATAGAAGTAGATACCTACACGGCTACACGGCTATACCTAACCTAGAGTTCATATAACCCAACAATTTAAAGTTTACAGCTATTTATTTAGACCATTAAATGTTATTATCATTCAGGTTTAGTTAAATGTATTTAATTATACAAACTATAAATAATTGTTATTGCAACTAAAAATATGATTATATGAACAAACATTACTATGACAGTTGCCAAAACTATGTAAATAAGATATCCTTGATTTTTGCTTAGTTATTGTAATTAAATACTATGCTTAAGTTATAAGAATAAAATAATAAAAACCCTAATAAAAATGAATAGGTACTTATTCTACCCATTCATTTTAACAGATGTACTCTGCAAATAGGATAATTTACTAGTGTATGAAATTAAGAATTTTTCTCAAGTATAAAATGTGATAGTTAATCTTTTTTATTATAATAATTTTAACAAAATATTTTAGAGTTTAGACTTTTGTTCTGATAGATCGTGCGTCCATGTTGTTAAAATGCCTTCTGCTTTGTTCAAAGTTTCATCTTTCTGTTGAATAAAATAGATTTGTTTTAAATTTTACAAAAACAAAGAAAAACCAAGCTTAAAAATTACTTTAAAAAAACAAAATCGGAGATAATTTTCAGCCATAGTTTTATGAGGTTCTGAGTAAAATGCTGAAAACGGTATTCCTTGAAGTTTGACATTCTTAGAGAGCCACTTTACAAATCTAAAGTCCTTGTATTTATCAGTTTCCGAACTTAAATCTAATTTATTTTCTAAAAAATAAAAGGTAAATTAGATAAAAATAAATAGTTAACATAATATACATAAGGTAGACCATTATCATAAATTACTATATATCTATATACCAACCAAAGTTTGTCCAGTTTGAAATCATAAAATATCCTCCATCAGGCATAATTGGTTGAAGGCCATTGTCTTGTAACATTTTAAAGAGATATTGCATTTTTGGTTTTAACTCTTTTGACAAACTTTGAAAATAACTCTCTGGTGTATCGAGGGCATTGATTTCGTGTTCAAATCCTCTTGCAGTAGCTTCCTGGACTGTTGTTGCACATGTATATATTGCAGTCTGATGAACAACACATAGATTTTTTATAAAATTAGCCGGGCCATATGCCCATCCAAGTTTCCAACCAGTCATACTGAATGTTTTGCCAGCAGATCCAATTGTAATTGTTCTTTCCCACATGTCAGGTAATGTAGCTGATAACAAAAATTAATTTGCATTATTTTTTAATTTAAAAAAATGGTGTGTTGCAAAATGTTACCTACAATATACGTAATTCATAAGTCACCTAATTAGAAATTTCATGAAATAGTATGTAGATAATGAAGAAAAGATTAAAACAATTTTAATTGTAAAAAAACCAGTTAAGTGGATGTCTCTCTGCTGTACAGTAGGTTAGAGGTGGGTCACTGTAATGGATGGTGTTAAATTTGAATTCAATGATATAAAATCATTGTAGACAAAAAATGAATCTGAGTGAAGATGATGTGTCTGCCTATAATATTACTTAGTACCTATTTAGTAATTTAGTATAGGTATTTAATGATGTTATTGTGATTAAAGTACCTAATTTACTAGTACTACAGTAGATTAAATTCATTTTAACTAAAAACATTACATTTGAAAAGTCTTTGTGTGTATGAAATATAATAATATTCAGCATCTAATATATAGTATATATATTACCTATGTATCATATTATAAGCATAATGAATATTTTTACAATCTTATAAAAAATAGGTTTATTACACAAAATTAAATTACCCATTCTAATGTGTTTAGTTGGTTCATACACCAACCACTCATATACTTCATCAGAAATAACTAGAACATTATGTTTTTTGGCCAAATCTGCAATCATTGTTAACTCGTCGTAATCAAATACTTTTCCCAATGGATTATGTGGTGTATTTATGATGATGAGTTTGGTTTTGGAACTGAATAATGATGCCAGTTCTTCAGGGTCAAGCTTCCAATCACTTGCTTTTGGCAATGATGCATTGGGCCTCGTCTTTAAATATAATACAAAGTGTTCAAATTATTGGTTGTAAATAATCAACTATTTGTAATATGTTTATTATATACTTACATTTCTCAAAGGTATAAATCTAGGAGTGCCTCCAGCAGTACGTACTATGGGCTCATAACAATCGTAAAAAGGTTCTATGATAATTGCTTCATCTCCTTCTTCTATATTACTCTGTATGGCACAATAAAGAGCTTCGTATGCACCAACAGTGACCAATATTTCATTTACGGGATCAATTTTTCGGTTAATCAATTGAGAATATAAGTTAGATAAAGCTCTCACTAAACGTAAATGTCCCTAGAATTTAAAAAAAATGATTCTATTTGTTAAGAATGTATGTTATTTTTTAAAAACGAATATAATATTACAAATCCACGAGTGTATTGATTGAAATATGAATTCTTTTCAGTAGCCACCTCAGCTAAGAAATTTGAAAACCGTGATGGTGGGTCATAATCTGGAAATCCTTGTCCCAAATTTAAACATTTTGTAGTTACAGCTAATTGAGTAAATTCAATCCTTTAAAAAGAAATTTAACTTAATACAATATATTTGATGTATGAAAAATGTAGAGGTTGTATCGGTAATAATCTTTATACATAGTATACCCATCTGCAATTATGATAACGTAACTTAACTGTTATATTATGAATAGAATAAGAAAAAATTAAGTACCTATATAGGTCATTACTTTACTTTAACATAAAACATTAACGTTTTACTATAGATTCTTAAGTATGACATTAAATTTATTGAAATTGATAACTATATAAATAAATGATTCTTTAATTCAATAAAATAATTTATATTAAAAATTATATTTTCAGTATAACTTATTCTCATGTAAAATAAAATTGTTTTTGTTTAGTTAAAATTAGGTACATCTTTAGTGTTTAGTGTGTAACTAAGAATTTATTTATAAAGTTACTAAAATATTACACTGTTTAATTAATTTTCTTTTAAACTCATTATTAGTAGTCACACTGACTTTTGAAAAGTAGGTTTAATTGGTCTGCAAGTTTTTGACAAAACTAACTTGAGTTTGTTATGTTGATGATCAAGTAGTAAATAAAATAGTAAGTAATAAGTAATTAGATAAAATTAAGCAATAAGTAAGAAAATAGTTACTGAATTAAGTTTAAAAGTTTAAAAATAATTTTTTTTTAATTTAGCTTTTACTTTGCAGGCCACTTTTGTTAGTTCTTCATATTATTTATTCCTAATTATATTTAAATGTAGACCAATACACTGTATAATAAGTACAATAAGCAAAAAAAAGCTGATATAAGCACCCAGTGTATTGTTTTCATCACAAACATTGGTCACAAACACTTACCATACATTGTATACACCTGCTTCATGGCGAGACGGTAACTTGAATTTCTCTGTTATTTTTGATGTCATATTAACTGATGTTGATAATTTTTTCCTTAATAAACAATTTGTAATGGTTCGAAAACTATTAGCTCTTATAATAGAACTTGTATACAAAATTACCCTTTGAACAAAACATACACTTAAAACATTTTACACATTAAAATACAAAGATAAGTTCCTCAATTAATAAATTGTAATTCAATTTACAGAAAGATTGATTTAACAGCAAGGAGCCCTTGTTATTTCAATTTTTTTTTTTTTTTGATTCAGGATAAATTAAATTCTAATTTTCATTTTTTTTTTCATTTTCAGCAGAATATTTTTCTAATAATAATATTGAAGTATAGACCTATCAAATATTTAGTTTTTATTTTATGCTTTGTCATTTTTCTTTAACATAATATTCTGCTTCAGGTCGTGAATTAAAAAAATTATGTAACAATTTTAAGACCCAATGTTTGTAGTGTTTTTCACATGATGACACATAAATGATAGGTAATATAAAAGTCCGTACATTTTGAAAAAACCTATTATTTTTAGAAGTATTGAACGCTAACTTTTAAAATAATCACACACAATACTTATTCATAGCCACCTAGAATCTAGATATATTATAGGTATTTAAAATTATAAATCAGGTTACATTATTTTACAAGTTATTATTCATGTAATACCACCTACTTTATAATATTATATTTAATATTTGTATTAATTTATATATTATCCAAGACAACGATATATTGGAAATTATAAACATTTTATTAAGTAATTAAATAATTTAATGAACTTACATATTGTATCACAGAACAAGAAAAACATAGGGACACTGCCTGCTGCTAGTGTGGACGAGTGATTAATATATTTTGTACATAATACATAGGTAGGTCCTCCTAGGCTCCTAGCCTACTATAATAATTTCTATGTAAGTTGATTACATTTCGGTCATTTCATAACAAAGTGATAAGCTATTACGAGTTTATGACCTAAAAAGATAAAGCATACCTAATTATAATATATTATATTATTATCAACGAATAACAAAAAATCAATTATGAGTCAGATTGATTAGGTAGGTACATAAACGCAGTTGTTTAACAATATTTACGATTGTTGAAAATCAGATCACCAATATCAATATGTAATTAATATGGTTAGGTAGGTACCTAAGTCTTTGGACTTGTAAACATAACAATATAACATGATAATTACTAATTAGGTAGGTGTCTACCTAATATCCAAAATGTTGATTAATAAGTATATTAATTTATTTTGATAATGTACAATACATTTATAAATTGTAACTTAACCACTTATCACTAAAGTGCAATAATAGCCGATTGAAAAAATGTAAATAATAAACAGTATTTAATGTGTATACAGAGAACAATTTAGATTTAATATGTAAATCATAAATTAAATAAAGACGTAATATACCAAAATAGGTACCCAATAATTGCTTGTGGATAAAATTCAATTATAGGTGAAGATGTCAAATTTTAGGATGAAATATAAAATTAAATTATACCTAAAGTTATTTGCATAAATAGAACAATTTACTAGAAGTCTAGAACGTTTAATATTTATGAACTTAAATATAGACTATAGACATAATACGTAGGGTATTCTTACAAGTTTGACCGAGATCGAAATTTGGATCAAATCACTAAAATTGGCAAAATGATTTGGTAGTCAGGACTGTTAGGAGGACGTTATACCCGCATGTAATTTATCCGTCTTACAAGAGCCTAAAATATCAAATTTTATGTTCAGCAGATGACGCTTGGCTCTGTTAACTTAAAAATTAGAGTGAATCGACCACTTATTAAAATTAAAGGTAAGATTATTATGGAAGGCGTCTCTTGGGATTTTTATATAAATTTTATTTTAAAGAGAGTTATGAGTATTATAAGTTGTACAAATAATTATACTCTAATACTTCATTAATTTAATAATATAATATAAATTATAAATATTCACTATTCGGGTTTCTTAAAATTTTTGTTGGGGACTTACAGTTTTACCAGGGTTGATCAACATTAATTTAACAATTAACGTTAATATAGTTTAATACTTAATAGTATACTGCTACCTATACTTATTTAATTTTTTAAATATGTTTTTTAATTTGTTTATATATATTTAGACTATTTAGTAGTTATTCAGTATTTACTATTTAGTATTTAATATTATTTACTATTATTGGCTTTTAGTTGTTCATATTTTATTCCCTACTAAATAGTAAATAAAATAAATAATAATAAACCAATATTGAATATAGTAATCTAAAAATCAATTTAATGTAAGAGAGATGTTCACTTGAGATTGGCTACCTACATCGATTTGACTGAATTTTTGTTTTGTTTTGTCCACGTAAGTAGTTGTCAGGGTAAGGTTTGTATTGTAAGCTTAGAATTTAATATCATATTATGAGTTATTAATTATGGCAAGATTGAATCAATTATATTACTGTATGAAAGACAATTTAAAATTTTTAGAAAATTTATTTTTAGTTCAATTTAAAATACTCGAGCAATTCCCAGTACCTACTCGACTCTTTTTTCGAATACCTACTTGGAATTTATTGATTATTCAAATTTTGAACTCGACTAGACTCAAAATTGTAAAAACAATACTCGTCAAACATTATGTAAATGGTATCTAATTTTATATTATTTAAGTAGGTTTATTTTATTTCTTTAATAGGTTATTTTTAATTAAGATAATAAAACCAACTAATTTAATGTCGCACAATAATTTATAATTTCTTGAGTAAATTGTGGTTAAAAATGTCTAAGTAATGGATAATAATAACAACTCTTGTTACATCATTTATATGACTGTTTCAATCGGGTTATTGCCATGTGTAGGCAAACCAATATGTTGGTTAAGATGTCTCCATTTAAACTTTAAATTGAGTCGTACCGAAAGAGAATGGGTATTAACTTGTCGGTATTTAGGTTGGTACCAATAGTCAGTAGATTGTTAAAGGCATGATGTCACATTGATTGAACTTAATTGACAATATAATTATCAAATAAGTACATTTGGAAATCCTTCCAAATTAATTTTCAAATGTCCAAAATGTCACTATAGATAACAGATTCGATGTTACTTACTGTACATTAAATGCTTTTTGTTTAATAAAACCACGACTTTATAAAATAGGCAGTTTGTTACTTAATAGATGATTCTATACCTTGATGTTTATTTTCAGAGGGGTTGGAATTGCCAAATAGAATTGGAACATGGAACATTTTTTTTAAAAAATGTCTAAAAATAACAGCTCTCTGAAGTGTTTTTATAGCAGCATTTTTCTACGTTCTATCGAAAAGCATAAAAACTCAAAACAAAGTTTCATTTAATAACTTTTTAAGGACCTTTCAAGTTCAAATGTTGAAAAAATTGGAGGTTGGCGTTAGACTATTACGAAAATCCTACTTTTCTTTGCGAATATTAGATATTTAAATGTAAAATGACGATTTTAGTGTTTTGTTGTAATTTAAAAAAAATATTTATCATTTTGACTACTCACAATTTTTGACTTTAGATATACTAGTATTTACTGTACATCATGAAATTTCCTAAATATTTAGATTATTTTAAGTTATATAAGTTAATATGTTGTATCATATTATAACATATCAGCAAATATAGCTTATATATAACTTTTGTTATAGCAGCTATGAATACCTAAAATATATTATTTTTTTTATTATTATTGATCTTAAGCCCGGTAACTATGGCTATTAGCTGTTTGTAGGGGGGGTATGGTTGTATGTATAATAAAAGTATTCAACTGTCCCCACTCAGAATTTGCGTATTCAATAATTTCATTCATTCTAATTTAATAGTTACAGTCGGCAGTCGACGTCTATACCTGCAGACTATACGATAGTAGAGTGATTTCTCAGGTTTTTTAAAATATTATACCTATAACCAATCTCAATATATTCTAGTTTACTATTTGAAAAACAATTTTTAAGACTTAATATTATTGCAATTTTTAAAATGTGTTATTTTGTAATATATAAACTATTTTTGTTTCCTATGAATTATGAACATTTTTCTGTATTCAGAAATTATAGCCTATAGATAATATTATGTAACCCAAGTTTTACTTTTACTAATTGTAATCGAGCAGTTACTCACAGCAATCATAAATTCGCGAATTTGTCTCGTTTCATAAAGAGTTTTTGCTTTTAAAGTTTAAGTAGGTAAATTTTAATAAACTCGTATATGATAATAGTATTATGATAACCTTTAAAATTGTCGTCTTCCCAAAAGTGCCATTATTCATTAAATTATAGCTACAGGTAGCATTATATGAAACTAAATATTAATAATTCAAATTTCGGATACTTACGCTCGTTTCATATAAACCTAATTATTTTTTTGAATTTCAACAGCAAATTGTTCAATTATCAAACATTTTGAATAACTTATAAATTAAAATTTTAAACATGTTTACACTTCTATGGTGATTTCATAAATGAAATGTTCCAATGTTCTGCCTTCAATAATATATAAAGTAACAACATCCACCGCAGGTAGACGACTCGTTCCATGTGTATCCAAGTTAGCTATTGTTAAGTTAGATTTCATATCGTTTTAAGGCTAGTGATCAGTTTTTAAATATAAAATTAATTGTATAATGGCTGATGAGCATTTCAATATTAGATATCTAACTATAAACTCATTTTGTAAGTCACATAACATAATATAAGAAATATTTTCATGTTCTATTGATCTATTTGAATAAAAGTACTTTGGAAATTATATAGCTACCCTACTTGATATTGTCACACAACTAAAATAAATATTTTATTCAATGAATCAACAAATAATGATTATTGTTTGTTGGAATAATGAGTCCATAAATTGTTTTTTGCTTTTACTAACTACCAGCTTACTAATTTACTTTTCTTATTGTATCAACCGAACGTTTATTTTCTCAAAGGGTGGAATTTTTCCAGTGCTAAGCCCTCTGAAGAGTGAAAACCCCACCTATAATTGCGCTAATAGGGTGTAGGCCCATGCAATGTATACTCTATATATGAATATATAACTGCGGTAGATATAATGCGATATCGTACACATGGTGGTTTTATATTCTCATTATTATTTTGCGCATGAACGGTAGCTTTTATCGTATAGGTAGACACTACACTGACATAATACACAGTAATATAATAACACATCCATGTTTGTAAAAGGTGTGTATACCTCATGTATAGTTTTACGTAGGTATAGGTATAGTGTTTTTTTATTTATCATAGGTAACTGTCACCGAACGAAAAATGTACTATACATTTCGACATTCGGAGAAAAATAAACACATGAAATTCATATTCATTATGGCCAACCTATTTCAAATGGAACCCTTTATACTTTCTAGAAATGGATCCGGGTGTGTTTATTTTTCGTTTATTTTTTTTATTGAAAATCACACATTCACACACTGATACCATAAGTTTGCTGCAGATGAACAAACAATACGCGCAGTCCACGGATCAATAAGTTTAATAACGATTAATATAATTATAAAAATAAATGCAATAAGAATGACTTATATAGCTTATGCACAGTAGGTACGAACTACAAGGAACTGACCAGTGATTAAACTTTTAAAATTCATTCATTGATTTATTACACTTTGGGTGGCTATAATTATTATTATATAAGTACCTATAGGTTCGTTTATATACCTATGAATATTATCTGAACATTTTTTTTAAAAATTGTAATAATATCAATAAAATTTAAAGAAAATTCGAATGCGTCAAACTTACCTATAATATAGTATATTATGGAATAAAAATTATATTTTAGGTCCTCAGACTTTTTGACTGATTACCCAAGGCATTAGTCCATACAACATTTTTTGGTTCTTTATACTGATGGTTACTAATTAGGTATTA